GAAGCTCGCCTGCTATGCGCGCCATCTGTTGGCGGCCGACATCAAATGCATGCTGGGTCACAATTTTTTTCTCTTTTTTTCTCTTTTAATCAGATTTTCTGCGCAACGAGGAGGAGGAATTACGTCAGAGAGAAAAGGAATTTGATGTACGTATCATCACACGTATTTTAATGGTGTTTCAAGCTACGTATTTGGCATTTTAGTGAGTTAAAAGAGGAGAGGGAAATGATTAGCAACCGTCGCGAATCAAAAGTCGAATCACTCGCATATTTCCCGAGAAGAGGAAAATAAAAAAGAAGAAGAAAAGAAAACATATTATACAAACGAAACCAAGAAATTAAAATAAAAGAAGGAAAAAACATATCAAAACATAACACACTAAACAAAGAAGACAAAAACAACAACAACAACATTAAAACACGACACTAAAGAAAGTAAAGACAAAAAAAAAAAAAAAAAAAAACATGACACACTAAAGAAAGAAAACACAAAAAAAAAAACATATCACACCAAAAGAAAAAAAAAAAAGGAAACAAAAAAGCAACAAACCATCCCCACTAATCACCCCCCCCAAAAAAAAAAAAAAAAACTAACCCCTCCCTCCCTCTCTCCCTTCCCCCTCTCTCCCCCAGGTGCTGTGGAGCCGCGTGGACGGCCCGATGCCCGTCGGTCGCGCCCGAGTGGGTCGGGACTGGAGCCTCACCATCAGCGACGTGACCATCGGCGACCAGGGAGTCTACGTGTGCGAGGCTTCCAACGTCGCGGGATCCGACAGCGCCAACACCTCGCTCGCTGTCGTCGGTGGGTTCTGGAAGCCTCGAGTGGGTTCCTGTTTTGCGTTTGGGTAAAGAAAGAAAGAAAGGAAGGAAGGGAAGGAGAAGGGAAGAAAGAGAGGAAAGAGAGAAATAAATAAATAATAAAGAAAGAAAATAAAACAATAGCAATAATAGGAACTAAGATGATAATAATAATAATAAGAATAAGAATGTTGACGTGGGTTTGGAAGCCTCGAGTGGGTTTCTGTTTACGCGTTTTGCTAAAGAAGAGAAAAAGAAAGAAAGAAGAAGAAAGAAGGAAAGAAAAGAGCAGAAAGAAAGAAAGAAAGAGAGAAATAAAGAAGAAAAAGAAAAGAAAAAAAAACAATAGCAATGATAGGAACTAAGAATGTTGATGGTGGGTTCTGGAAGCCTTTGAGTGGGTTCCTGTTTTAGCGTTTTCGTAAGGAAAGAAAGAAAGAAAAAAAAAAAACAATAGCAATAATAGGAAACTAAGATCATAATAATGATAATAATAGCAATAAGAGCTAAGAATGTCGCTAGTGGTTCTGGAAGCCTTGAGTGGAGTCCTGTTTAGCGTTTTCGTAAAGAAAGAAAGAAAAGAAAAAAAAACAATAGCAATAATAGGAACTAAGATCATAATAATTGATAATAATAGCAATAAGAGAGCTAAGAATGTCGCTAGTCGGGTTCTGGAAGCCTCGAGTGGGTTCCTGTTTAGCGTTTTGGCAAAAGAAAGAGAAGAAAGAAAGAAAGAAGAAAGAGAGAAAGAAAGAAAGAAAAAAGAAAGAAAGAGAAAAAAAAAAAGCAATAGCAATAATAGGAACTAAGATGATAATAATAATAAAGAGATAAATGTTGACGTGGGTTCTGGAAGCCTCGAGTGGGTTCCTGTTTAGCGTTTTTGCTAAAGAAAGAAAGAAAGGAAAGAAAAGAAAGAAGAAGAAAGAAAGAAAGAAAGACAAGAAAAGAAAAAGTAAAAAAACAATAGCAATGATAGGAACTAAGAATGTTGAGGTGGGTTCTGGAAGCCTCGAGTGGGTTCCTGTTTAGCGTTTTGGTAAAGAAAGAAAGAAAAGAAAAAAAAAAATAATAGCAATAATAGGAACTAGGATGATAAAATGATAATAATAGCAATAAAGAGCTAAGAATGTCGCTAGTGGGTTCTGGAAGCCTTGAGTGGGTTCCTGTTTAGCGTTTTCGTAAAGAAAGAAAGAAAAAAAAAAAAAACAATAGCAATAATAGGAACTAAGATGATAATAATGATAATAATAGCAATAAGAGATAAGAATGTCGCTAGTGGGTTCTGGAAGCCTCGAGTGTTCCTGTTTAGCGTTTTGGCAAAGAGAAGAAAGAAAGAAAGAGAGAAAAAGAGAGAGAGAGAAAGAAAGAAAGAAAGAAAAGAAAAAAGAAAAACAATAGCAATAATAGGAACTAAGAATGTTGAGGTGGGTTCTGGAAGCCTCGAGTGGGTTCCTGTTTAGCTTTTTGGTAAAGAAAGAAAGAAAGAAAAGAAATAATAATAATAATAATAGCACTAAGAGATAAGAATGTCGTCGGTGGGTACTGGAAGCCTCAAGTGAGTTATGGGTTCTCTTGGGTTGCTGGTTAACGGTTTGGTAATTAAGAAGAAAATAAATTAAAATAATAATAATAATAATAATGGTAATAGCAATGATAATAATAATAGTAATAATAATAATGATAATAATAATAATGATAATAATAATAATAGTAATGATAATAGTAATAATAATAATAATAATAATAATAGTAACACTACTACTACTACTACTACTACTACTATTAATAAGAAAGAATAATAACAATAGCAATAATAAAAGCTAAAAATATCAACGGTGGGTACTGGAAACCTCGACCGAGATGTGGGTTCCCTGGGGTCAATTTTTTCCCTTTTATGCTAATCAAAACAACAATAATAACAACAGCAATAATAGGAGCTAAAAATGTCGGTATGTATAGAATGTGTCCTTATGGTATTTCTATTTAATTCTCATGGTAATCAGAACAATAGTAATAATAACATAAGATGTCATTGATTTCCTTTTAATATTTTTTTTGATCGTCACAATAGCAGTTTGAATTCGTTTTAATATTATAGTAATAATAAAAAACAACAAATTAATTTTCTGTTAATGTTATGGTAATTAAAACAAGAACAGCAATTTGAATTCCATTAATATTATAATAATAAGAAAAAAAAAAAAAAAAGCAATTTGAATTTCCTTTTAATGTTATAATAATCAAAACAACAACAATTTGATTTCCTTTAATGCTACAGTAATCCAAACAACAGTAATAACAGCAACAATAACAACAATAACAATAACAATAATAAAAAAATATCGTCGGTTGGTATCGAATGCCTCGACCTAGATCCTCTTGATATCAAAATAATAACAAAAAAACAATAACAACAGCGATAACTACTTCAAATGCTAATGGTTTTAGTTGTTGAAAGCGATACGATGTTCAAACTCCTTTTGTAATAATAATTTTCCTAGGCTCTAAAAAAAAAAAAAAAAAAAAAAAAAAAAAAAAAAAAGCCTCTAAACAAAACTTAAAAAAAGGAACAAAGTTAGTTTATTAATAATCCGACGAAAGAGAAGACGCGCGCATACTTAATAGAACCTCATATTCCTTTTATAAACCGAGAAATGGATTTATAAATATCTAAGTAAAGCGACTGGGAAATAGATGGCCGCTGTAGGCAGGTTACCTTCATAAATAAACGACGAACTTTTAAAGAATGATACAGTGTCCTCAAAGCGACAACTCTTAACACTGTAACAGATACTTAAAGGTGATGCTGTTGGTTCTTAGGTGATTGTTGAAGATTTGAAGAACATTTGGAGAAAAAAAAGAACATTTGAAAGTTCATTTGGAGAAAAAAGAACATTTAAAGTACATTTGGATAAAAAAAGAACATTTGGAAGTACATTTGGAGAGAAAAGAACATTTGAAAGTACATTTCGAGAAAAAAAATGGAGTTTAGAAAGTATATTTGGGGAGAAAACAAGAACATTAGAAAGCACATTTCGAGAGAAAAAAAGTTTAGAAAGATGAAGAGAGAGAGAGAAAGTAAAAGAAAAAGAAACAGAAATGGAAGAAGTTTGGTCTCTAAATGCGCTGATAAATCACCTTGAAAATAATACTTAAGGAATAACTTTCGAAAGTTACTAAAATGTTGAATTCAGAATCTATTATTAATTGCTAACAGCCTGAGTGTCGTCTAAAATCACCTCGTTTAAATTTCAACCGCCCGCAGAACCCCCTCGCGTGGACGGAGGAGTACGCCCACGAATCGCCGTGATCACGCCCACCCACGTGCGTCAGATCAGCTGCCCCGTGACGGCCACGCCCAGCCCGGTCATCTTCTGGGTGCGGGAGAACCACGTGAAGGATGACCTCGACTACCACGATGACCCAGTGTTCGAGGGTAAGTGGGGGGGGGGTGCGGTGAGGGGAGAGGGGGGGGAAGGTTGGGAGGAAGAGGGTAATACACACACACACGCACATACACTCACACATCACACATACACTCACACATACGCACACACACACACACACGCATAGTCACACATACGCACACACACCACATACATGATCACAAACACACACTTAAACATCTTACACATACATAAACATCCGCACAATACAAGACCGTACAAACCCTCACAAAACATCGTTATATTTACGTAAATAAATCCGCCACGTCTCCCCTGAGCCGCATGACAGGCGTTCGTGACAGCTCCTCGTGCCTCTCCCGCAGACCCCGCCTTCTCGAGCCTCCAGCAGCCCCTTCAGCACCTTCCGGATATCCTGCTGGCGGGCTACGGCGGCGGCCCTGCCCTCGGGACGCCGCCCAGGATCGACTCGGAGCCCCTGGTGGACGAGGCCTACAACCTGCACGTGACCACCTACCACGAGGGTCTCTGGGCTTGCATGGCCGCCAACGAGGTAAGGAAAGCTAACGGTTTTTCTTTCAAAGATTTTTTAAAAATGTGTTCGTTTGGCTGTGTTCGGAGGAGCGGCGTCGACTTCCTCTTTATATTCATGGCGCGTCTTCTCTCCCGGAAATCCAGGTTGGCGGGCTGATGCTTCCCGTGCACGTGGTGGGCGGGGGCGTGGCGCGCAACTCGGCGGGGATCGGCATCGTGGGCGTGGACGAGGTGGAGGCGCGGGCGGCCCTCCTCACGCCCGCGCTCGAGCTCGGACACCCTTCGTCTGCCGCGCCGTCGGCCGTCACGCTCAAGTGGCGATACGTGAGTATTCCTTCCACGAGAGGCAGCGCCGGAGTGAGACCCGGAAAGTTTGCGCCTTTATGTTCAGGCTTTCGAAACCAGTTAAAAGTTTAATAGTCCGGAAAATTCGGTTACTTTGAATTCAGGTTTTGTGCGCTCAGGTTCCTTGGGTATTCACGTCGCTGGCGAAGAGCCTGCGCAGCCATATACATTCGGGTCCTCTTCCTCGCGTCATTGTGCAGCCAGGTCGTGTACATCCGGAGTCAGGTGCGTCCGGCCACCTTCTACAGCACCTTCGGCCTTATTTCACCTAATGCTGTACCTGGGAGTCTCGCACACGTCTTTTGCGTCCATATTAAGCACTCCGAATTGGCAGCGACTTCCTACCAGCGGACAGTTCAAAGTCTTTTATGCACTGTGATCATCCTTCGCATCCTGGATCTATTAGGCCAAGATTAGGGTCTGAGTTCTCGTTATGGTCGTCGGGCAGCTGAGTTCACACACCAAGTAATGTACTTTGTCCTCAGCGCATAACAAGCAGGTATCTGTCTACCTTATAGAGGGTTCATATCTTCAGTGTATGTGACGATGGAACTGTTTCACGCTCGACCATGCTGATGACCCTAATGTATAATAATAACACTCTTTCTCGTAGCATTAATAAACATGAAGATGCTAAACATGCAGAGACTCACACGCAGTTATCATGACCAGCCTTAATCAGCCCAACACGGACGAATCCACAAAACTAATTCAAAACCAGCCGTTAAGAATCACTACCACCTCAGCAACATAAAACAAACTCACGAAAAAATAAAAAAGCCCTTCGACTGTATGCCAGCTGCTAAAAAAAAAGACAATACACATCCCGTTCAGCTTCACAAATCTTCTCTTTCCCTCTCCAGCTTCACCATAGGATACAGGAGATCGCGGAGGAGGCTGTACAGGAGGAGGTACGGTACCAGCACACTTAACACAGTATGACACTCTCGGTATGCTCCTAGAGGGTACATATTTGCTATCTCGTTGCCAATACTGTGACTTTTTGTTGTGGTCGCAGAATTCGTCCTGTCTTGTTATGGTGTTGTAGATCCCTGTTAATGTGTTGTAGACAAGCCTGACTCTCTTTGGTGGCGTAGTGTACTCTTTAGAGATTGCAAGACTATGTTCTCGTTGTTTTTCGTCTTGGTGTATTGGGTTTTCATAATAGATAACGCAGTAGTTTTTCTCGGTATATTTGGGTGAGCATACCTGATAACATATCAGTAGTTCTCGTTGGTGTATGGGGTAATCATACATAGTTTTTTCTTATATATCGTTGGTGTATGGGGTATACGTTTTTTTATATATCGGGCTATCAAACCAGATACCACAGTAGTTCTCGTTGTTGCATTGTTACCATACCAGATAAGGCAGTAGTTCTCTTTCGGCGTATTGGTCTATCATACCAGATACCACAGTAGTTCCCGTTGCTGCCTTAAGTTACCATACCACATAAGGCAGTAGTTCTCGTTGGTATGTCGATCTATCACACCACATACACACAGCGGAGTACCATGTAGATCTCCGACTTACAGAAGCCCCTCGTTTGCTCACAGTGGTTTTCAACTTTTGTCGATAATTGTGATTCTCGAACAGCCGGTGCGATCGCCTCTGCCAGCGAGTTTGAGGGAGAATTGCTCTGTGTGTTTTTCTCTTCTTTTGTGTGTGTAGATATACTGTAATTTTTTATTTTAACTTGCGCTGAATCGGATGATTGAACGAGTATTTAGGGATTGATGGAGAGAGTAAGGAAGAGTGGAAGAAAATAGATAGAATAGAGTTAAGTGTGTGATTGAGAGGGAGAGGGAGGGAGAGGGAGAGGGAGAGGGAGAGGGAGAGGGAGAGGGAGAGGGAGAGGGAGAGGAGAGGGAGAGAGGAGAGGGAAGAGAGAGAGAGAGAGAGAGAGAAGAGAGAGAGAGAGAGAGAGAGAGAGAGAGAGAGAGAGAGAGAGAGAGAGAGGGGGGGGGAGACAGACAGAGAGAGAGAGAAGGACAAGGAGGAGAAAGAGAAGAGAGAGATAGATAGATAGAGATAGATAAATAGATATATAGATTGATATAGATAAATAGATATATAGATAGAGATAGATGAATATATATATATATAGATAGATAGATAGATAGATAGATAGATAGATAGAGATAGAAAAATAGATAGAGAGAAAGAGAGAAAGATTTTTTGTGTGTAGAAATACTGTATTTTTATTCCCTGTGCTGAACCAAATGTTAGAAGTCAGTTTTGAAGAATGGAAGGGGAGAGAAAGGGTATGGAGAAAAATGAATTGAAAGAGTTGAGTAAAGGTGCGAATGAGCGATGAATGAGTTAGTAGGCGAGTGAGGGAATGAGTGAGTGATGAGGAAATGGGTGAATGGGTGAATGAATGAGTGTGTGAGTGAATGTAAGAGAGAGATAGAGAT